TAAAGTGTTTAACTTTATTTTTAACGTTGTTTCAACAACCGTTTTCGTAAATCTTTAATTTATGAAATTTAAGTTTTTTGTTCTTAAAATGTTTTAGTTTTTTGAATGCCCTTTATATATAGAAATTTTGTTTTGTTTACGCCTGTCTCCTCATCTTTACATGTTTACAAATTTACGTGTACGTTATAAATTTAAATTACATCTTTTTGTTGACAATATTTAACATAGAACAACATAAAAATGTTTGCATAATAGCATATTTGACATAAAATGTGTAGAATTCATCAAATTCCCTTTTGATTACGTTAGTTCATGAAAACTTAAACGTATTTTTTTTTAAATATTATTCAAGTTAATGATAGTTTTGGGCACTAATGAGAAGCATCATGTTGGCCAAAGTTTGTTTTTTATGATGTGTTTGATATTTCCTTAAAGTTTTGAAGATGGCCCTAAGATTATCAAAGGCATGAAAACAAAATTGTTCATAAGTTCAGAATCAATAATAATGTAACATAAACAAAAATTATTATCTTTGCTGAAGGTTTTCACTTCAATATCTGTAAGTTTTCAAAAATAAATTAATAAGCAACTGACTAATAAAATGAGATTCACATACTTTCTTCGATTTATTGCTATGCCTCTGCAGGAGTTTTCTTAAACCAGTCTTATTACCAAATCTTTAGTTTTATTTTCGAAAAGAAGAAAAGTCGCAGAGCTGGCAATGAAAGCAAAGTAGAATAAATGAACCCTCAAGAAGTAGGAAAAAGAAAATGCTGGTAACCATAGCGGTATGTTCGTCCTACGTTTTCTGTCGTTCAAATCGAGTTGGGATGGCAACTTTTTTAATCCGCCATAAACACGCCTGTCGTCAGCTACTTTAAGGACTCATTCGGGGGCACCTGATGGGAGGATTGGGGGGGGGAGGGAAAGATAATTCCCTTTATGCTGTCGTGGCCTTCTTACGTAATAGGCTATATTTCTTAGTAAAGAATTATGAAAGTTTGAAGTGAAAGCTTGTCCCTCGGAGCGCAATGCACCCTAAGCACGTGCTCGAATCATTCCTCGCACTCTTCTTCGTATTAGCAGTGTTAATATTTCTAAATATGTAAGCGTAGTATTTTTTGCCATTCAGAACTGACATTACATTAACAATTATTAATCAAAATAATAGATTCTTGGGTATTTTCGCCACAGTTGAATTACGGGCTTACAACAGATTACCTACCCTGTATCTGCCGTTGGTTATGAGTATGAATCACGTGATAAGCCCACCTGGGAGTAAATCATGTACCAATTTTGGTGATCCTGCTTTGACACCCACACTCAGACGACAGAATGTCTATGTGGTCATCGTAAACAATAATTTGCACGGATAAGAGGAATGATACCCGTGATGGTTCTCCGTCACCTTGCTCAGCTGTGGTAGCGATTTGTCAACAATAGAAACAAATTACTGGTCATGTTAAAAGATGTAAGTGCTTGTGTGAATAAAAAAAATCGAATGGCTATCAGCATTGCGTTTTATATGATTACAGCAGTGAAATAGTGACTATTGACAAATATGAAATAGAACTGCTTCAACTGACAGATGCATTACGATGACGACCATGGAGGGATATGATAGGTCTTCTTCAGGACAATATCAGTGCGTTCTTCCGTAATAGGGTATAATTTAACATAATAATCTTTGCACCACTGAGATGGCTTCCGACCAAAGGTGATACCTAACGGAAAAAATCCCAGCCAGTGGAATCATTTATTGAAAAGATCCTTTTCACCGAGAGTTTTTACAAAGAATATTTTTACATGACAGTGAAAGTTATTTACAGTCTTTGTATTTACAGGCTACGTTGAACTAATTTTGATATATATTTCAATTTGATTTTAATAAATTTCAATAGTTCAAGAATTAGTGAAAGTTCTGTAGTTGAATAGAAGTTCAATTGATCAAAAGTTCTTGAGATATAAAGTTTTCAAGTTCCTTTGATCGAAGATTTCGTACATAAAGTAGTTCAATGTTTTAGATGATCCTGGTGGATTGATCAGAGGGTCTTGGTTGATTGATACAAATCAGTTCTAGTTTCAATTTAGATCCTAGTCCGAATATTATAGTCTTTTTATAAATGAGTGTTGAATTAAGTTAATTTTGATATATACGAAATAAATAATAAAAACAAATAATGGACTGTATTGTTTAATATTAGAATCCAAACAGAGAAGTTAGTTGATGAAAATAACTGTTGAGATGATTTGTTATAATACAACATAATAAGCTGGTTATAATAAATCTTCTATTAGTGTAATAAAAGTAAAATATGTATAATTTCTCTGTAGTTATTTATTTATGTACTGTCGCTTTTCATATGGTTTAGTGTGGTGAAGCTATGAGTTTTTTGGGAGGGTTTGATTACGGTTCACGGCCGGTATGTCATTAGACGAATATGCAGGTGTTTACAAGAATGTTATTCTAGGGTGTCGAGGAAGGGGGTACAGAATTTGGGGTAAAATGCTCTTCCAACCTGAATGAATTCTCGGAATTAGGAGTCAGATGTTTCCTAGTTGCCTGAAGTTATGAGTCATATGTTTCCTAGTTATCTGACTTTCCTTAGTTATCTGAAGCCGTTATTTTGAAGAGAACATCGAAGGCTTTAGTCAACTGCATTTGTTTCATTTGAAATGAAGATGAAACAGAATTCGATGATGTGTCGGATGATTTAACGGAAGATGAATATTACGAACTTTCATGTTATCCGATATTGAAATTTTTAAGTTCACAAGGTATGTTATTTCTTTAAATTAACAGAATAAGGTACACTGTGAAAAAAAAAAAAAAAGGGGGGGGACAGTTTTATAGCTCCTGTTCTATTGGGCCAATTGTCGAAATTCAATTTGCGTTTTCCATGTCTCGAAAGAGCGACTTAGGATATGTATTAAATTTATATATAGCGTTGTTATAATATAGGTATTTTGACACAAAATCGGACTTTGCCTGATATGACATGCCAAATTTTTTCCATATTTCGATTTTACGGCTTAAATTATGCCAAACTGCCAAGTTTTGTAAAAATCGCACGAGTACTTTTTAAGCTTTCAAAATTTTAGCTACTCAATGTTTTGAATTTGATATATATTTATTAATTTTTTTTTCAGCTTACTTGATTTTATCTTCCAGAATTCGAAATTTAGGCTTAATGCAACTACAATTCGCACAGTTTTTATGATTTACTTTTTAAAATTTGTATTTTAAAATATTTTTCATAGCTTTTTTTCGAAAAAATGTTTGTGTTATAACTTAGGAAGTTTTTAACATTATTTGAAAGTAGATGTATTTCTAGGCACACCTGCAAAAAATTAGAGCTTTTTATTCAAAATTTTCTAAGATATTCGAGATATAATGTTTCAGAAAAATTATTGTATGTAACGTACTTTCTGAATGATATTGTTAATGAATGAGAAGAAAAAAAAAAAAAAAAAAACAGTCTTAAAGTAGACATCCTCTTAAAACATCTTGAAAACATCGTCTTAAAGTAGATGTATTTCTAGGCACCTCTACAAAAAATTAGACTTTTTTATTCAAAATTTTCTAAGACATACATGAATTTACATATTGGAGCGTTTTGAAATTTGGCCTCTTTTTTTTTTTTGAGAGATAATAACGCAAATGTGGTATACGCACTTTGTTAAAATTATTTGAAAGTATGAACGATGACATTTTCTGCTCATCTGTGATGAATAAAAGAAAAGGAAAATAGGTTTCTATAACTTAAGAAGTTCGCCAAGTAAATTATTCTTAGCGGAAACTGGGGGAAAAAAAAAAAAAAAAAAAAAATGCCAAAATAAATTTTTGTGTTTCTCCGTAAATTTCGAAAAAAATTTTATAAAATTTAATATTTAGGCATATTTTTAGTTGTAGAACGGAAATATGGAAAAATAATGGTACGTCATTTCAGAAAAAGTCCGATTTTGTGTCAAAATACCTATGTTAGAATGATGCTATATGTAAGTCTACTACATATCCTAAGTCGCGCTTTCGAGACATGAAAAACACAAGTTGAATTTCGTCAATGGGCCCAGTAGAACGGGAGATATAGAACTGTCCTCTTTTTTTTTTTTTTTTTTTTTCTTTTTCCTCGCAGTGTACATGTAAAAATCTAACTTTCGTATGCTGATTTTTTTTTCCTTATTTTTAATCTATCTCTTTTATACCCGTCGAATAACGCACACCCGTAATTTCCATCTTATTTTCTGTATTTTTTAAAGGGTGCGTATTACGCCGGAATTTACGGTACGTAATTCGGTCTATGAAGGAAGCACAAATTGGTTTTCCAAACAAAATCCACCTTTATTTCATGGATTTAGTAGCGCATTTATCGGAATTTCTTATCTGTATCTTAAATGGCTTAGATCCCATTTAATCCTGAAGTTTAGCTATTTTGTATATGACACTGATAAAAATACGAATAGTAAATATTTTTCAGTGTTCTTCGATTGAACAGAGCGAAAAACCTGTTTATGCTTTTATGAACTTAATTACATAACTGTCACAAAGAGAGAAGCCGTCCTATATATATATATCAGGTACAAAATATGATCTGCATTTTCACTGAATCATCCATGCTGCTTCAAACTCTGATTCAGCGAAGTAAGAAATGCATTAAAACCCTCCTTAATAAAAGGAACTGAATAATGGGATGACTATTCAAGCATTATCGATTGTATCTGAAATTGACTGCCTGATTTATGGGCAGTCGCACTTGTTTAAAAAACTAAATTAGGCTTATTTTGTGTTTTAGATAAGAAATAGGCCCAGTATCGCTGCAGAGTTTAATTTTTATTCTTATAACACGACGTAATAAAAAATTAAATATCGTAATATTCTTCTTTAATTCCAGTGTGCATATAACACCAGATTTTGAATGAAATGTGTAATTATACAGTAAAATAAATTACAAGAAGTTGTACGGTTTTATGTTGATTAATCAGTTATCTTATGATTTTACCTATAATTTCACTTTTGCTTTCGTCAGCTCCCACCAGGATAGAAATGAGTCTTTTCTCACATCCGAACTCAAAAGAAATGGGCAGCCACTTCGTTTCTTAACGAACGCCTCCAGTTTTTCGGAATCAGGTTACCTGGTGAAAAATCATTCTGTTATTAGGTTCGTGAATATCTAAGAAAATCTCAATAATATTTCTGTAAGAATATACTAAGATGTAATGCTCAATCATAAAAATTCCTTCAGACTGGGAAAATGTCCTTTCCATCTAGTACCAAACGAATAGTTTTTAAAGCTAACAGCATAAACTGCCACTGAAATCTCAAGTGATATATTACTTGAAACAGTATAGATGTGTCATTCCATTGATATAATTTTCCATTACTATCCATTCAAAAGTTTTTAAAAGTTTGATAGGAGCGACTTTTGGATCATCATGTATAAGTAAACAAGACTGAAAAATCAAATGGATCAAATGGTAGCGTTAGAAGTGTTAAGAAATGAAAAGATAAATAATTTTCTTTACTTTTTTTATAGGAAACAAAGGTTTCAGTCTACGCAAAAAGCTTCTTTGCTTCTAACTTTTTCTTGATGAGTAATTCATTTTGAAGTTTTATCTATACAACGAATAATTTTAAATAACCGCAGAGAAATAAAAGCAAATAACTAAAACTAATTTAATCACGATTTAGGCTTAAGATTGTAGAATCATTAGGACTTTTTGGGGGGGGTTGAGGGGAGGAGACGTGAAATATGCATGGTGCCCTCGCCGAAACTCGAACCCCGGACCTCTCGAATACACGCCGAGTATGCTTCGAATTACACCCCGAAGGCTTGCGGAAAGGATGGAGAAAGTACCTTATAAGATAACAGAAACGAAATAATTACTAAACATAGATTGTAATACAAAGTATTTTATTGTGTGCAAAAAGACTAGAAATGACAAAAAAGCCGCTTTTTTGATGGCTGTCTCTAGAAACAATGTAACAAAAGCAAATGAAGGTGAAACCATTTAACCATTAAGAAAACCATTTTGAACTCATTCAACCACTGATAATAATCCACGTAAAGGTAATCCACACAGAGACTACAGTCTGTTGAAAGCACTGGAAAATTTCTGCCGAAAGAAGATTCTTATTTTGTAATATCGGAACAGGTATTTTCTACCATGCCTCTTGAACAACTTTCCAAAGTCCAAAGAGGGTTGTAGGCCGATGTTTGAGCAATTTGTTTTTTAAAAGTCCAGAAGTGGAGAAATCCATGGGTGATAGATACATCAGGTGATTTAGTAGGGATATGAAGAAGTGTATGGCCTTGATACACGTTTCTTGTTCCATTTTTGTTCAGGAAATTTAACAGTGGATTTGGACTTCTGGCGGTTTGCTTTGTCTTCATGCAGTTCTAGAGATTGATGGCATTATGGGTAAGGAGAAGGTATTTCATATTTGAAAAATGGGTATAAAATGTGTTCCTGATACTATGTGGGCTCTCAACATTTTATCCACTCTCTTCATTTTTGATTTGCTATTATATGAAAAACTAGGAAGTATCATAAATCCCTTTGAAAAAATTTATGTATATCCCTTATTCAATGATGAGTAGATCTCTTTTTATTGCAGTCATTTAAATGAACCTAAGGTTCATTTTACTGTGACAGGTTTTTTTTTTTTTTCATTTTTCTCCGGATAAATATTTCTCATAAAGAATTCTGCGGCGTATTCTGCATTCGGCGATATTTTTTCGAGAACGACGATGCACCTTATCTTTTTTTTTGCCTTTTTAAGACCGGAATCAGCCTAAATCACTTTGTTTACAGTTGAAACTGAGCATCTGAATGATTTTGCAACTGTGTTTTAACTTGGTCGATCTTCTTGGGATGGTGAAAACCCCTATACCGGCAATGTTAAATTGGCCATTTTCAATGTACCTTTCCTCAAAATCTGCTGTAGATACGCGCTTGAATTTTTTTTGCGTAATTAAAGTATACCTATCTGAAATGAGCTCTTGAAACAATTTTGAGTTAGAATAATTTACAGAATATTTTGTTAGGCATTGTAAAATTTAGCACTTTTTTCTCTCTCTCTCTCTCTCTCACCACACACACACACACACAAAAAAAAAAAAAAAAAAAAAAAAAAAAAAAATATTTTGAATTTTTTTTCCTAGTTTATCACAAAAGGCTCATTTCAGTAAATATTAGGAAACCTAATAAATAAGCTATAAAAATTTTTGATACTTGTCAGCAGTAGTTCCTGAGTAAAGGCACATGGAGCATAAAAAAATCAAGTTTGGACAAAAACACTTTTTATGTAAAAATCATCATTTATCAAAGCATTCGATGACAAATTAAAACTAGATTTTTTAAGATTCTAATTTTCATAGAGATTAAAGAGCAAAAATCCGAAATCACCGTTTTTTTGAAGATTTTTGGCTTCCAACACCCCTTTTAACATTAAATATATCTTCTTTATGACATTCGAAACATTCCGTTTTCTCCTTGACATGTATTTGGAACAATTTTTCCACTAGCTAAAGTTTGATTTTTTCCCCTTTCTTGTTGATAGTATTACCTCTTGTAGATTTAGATGTCGAAAAACCATTGCTTTCCCAACGTTTTTTAATAACCAGTTAAGAAAACAATTTTTCGGCAAGACCAAAAACGTAGCCTTTCATGCATTGCTTTGTTAAAAGCTGTAAGCCTTCAATGAGTGCTTTCTTTCATAATTGCTATTGCATTTGAAAACACTTAACTATGAACACAGAATAATTTGACAAACAAACGCAAACATTACATAAAAGCAGTCATTTCATGTACTTCTTGCCTTCCTAAAAACTATTCTCTGGACTGTATATTTAATGTTTTCAAAGGACAGTGTTCTCTAGATGACCCTACAGTATGGGAAACGATGAGATGAATAATATCATGCGCATTACAGAAGGTCTACAACGATTTTTGTGTATTTTTTTCGACAGGCCGCAAAGATGTCAAACGTTCCTTTTTTTTTTTTTTTTTTTTTTTTTTTTTGCCTCGCTTCTTTTTTGCTTTTCGTACTTTTTTTCTACTGCATTGGTCGTCGCAGAATATAAACGACGCCATTGATGCTCGTTACTTTTAATATATTCGCCGATAAATTAGAGCCCAAAATCTGTTCTTAATGAAGCCATTAAAACTGGTCGATGCGACTTCATACTCGGCTAGCTTAACTGCAACTTTAATCCCGTCGATTGTGCAGGGGTGTAGGTGAGTGGAAGCGGAGTAGAGGGAAAAAAAATAGTGGGAGAGACAGTCCTGAAATATACGCTATAATTTAGGGTTAGTTTTGTGTGATGTTTATGTCGGGCTAGTGGGAAGGTTAATGGCGATTTTTGGATTACAGCGAATTGATTAAATTATATGTTGCCTCGGGGTTGATTGTGTTAGTCGCTTTAACAACCGACGACGATAAATTAAATGGGCACCGTGCTTTTTGGAATATTTTACAAGGCTTAATGAGCGGACAGCATATACTTTTATTATCAGACTTCATTCCATCAGTTGGTTTGTTGATTTTCTTGTTTAATGAACTTCAGAAATGTAACCTAGAATTTAATAGGGCGAAAAATCGTTGACCGTGAATAAGTATCACATCATAATCAGTGATTCTGAACACTGAATGCACATACTCTGAATTACAATGGGTTTTTAAACGGCATAGATCTTTTAGAGAATCATGATTTTTCTTAATTTTAACCAGACGAGTGTTCAAAATTAACAGAACTTCCACATTTGGTCAATTACTTCCAAAACTGATGGACACATTTTAATGAAATTTAGCAAGGAAGTCAGTTGATGCTACACGATAAATTACACCGTACAGCAATTTTGGTACACTTTTTGCTTCATGAGCTGAAGAAATTCGCGATGTTCTCGACAGGATTTGAACTCTGGAGCTTTCCGTTGCTTCGATAGATTTCCACTTATACAATGAAGGCATGCGTAAGGAGAGAGAAAATACAGCAAGGTCTAAAACAGAGTTTGCAATAACGAACAAAAATTTTATTAATGCGGGGTATAGCTCTCTTTAAAGGTCATACATCACTCAGGCCTTCATAGAGAAAATGAGGCAGTTTATGAGTTTGTATGGGAATCTTTCCCATTACGGCTGCAGTGCTATTTTCAGGTTTTTGGAGCTTTAGGAGGGGAAAGAAGAATTGCAATTGCTCTCCCAAGAGAGGCTCAGAGATTTTCTACAGGATTTAACCTGGAGATCTAGCTGGCCTTTCGATCCGGTTAATATCGTCACTTTTCAGAAAATCGTCCACCAGATTAGCTTTCTGGACATGGATTGTAGTCAGTAAAAATGAGCTGAGGCCCAAATCCACTCCAAAAAAGGTTAATATAGAGCATTAAGATCTCGTCTGTTTGCAAGAAGAATTCTCATTTTCTGCATGTCTCTCACTTCTGCCCACAAGAGAATTCGTCTACCACGGAGCAGAGAACATCAGCTCTGGACTAAGTATCAGTGCGAAAGCATTCTTGTCATCGACGAGTACCCATTCAGCCTAACCACTGATTCTCAACGCACCTCCATCTGGAGAAAACTGAAGATCCACTACCTGTAAGTCCAACATCTGAAAAACTGAAAAGTATGGAAGCAGATACTTGATGCTTTGGGCAGGAAGGGTGTTATTATAACGCAATGTAGAGTCATTAGGATTTTTTTAGATGTCTGGAAACTGAAGAAATGTGCAATGCCGTCGCCAAGACTCGAACCTGGAATACTCAAATACGCTCTGAATGCGTTACCGTTACACCACCAACGGACACAGGAAGGAGGGAGAAAATACTTTATAGCATCACATTGAATATAATATTAGATCCACATAATCTTAATAATTATAATATAAATGATTTTTAAAAAATGTTTTAAGGAGTTCCTTAAGACACTGAGAAATTCCTGAAGCATAAACTGTCAAAAATGTTTGAAGGGAGTTGATTAAAAATTGAGAAATTTTTGAAGGGATCAGCTATATACGAGTTTGAATAGATGAATAAAAAAATTGAGAAATTTTTAAAGAGCCGATTGTCAAAAAGTTTGAAGTGATCAATAAAGACTGTGATATACTTGAAGGGGTAGATCATCAAAAATTTGAATG